GTAAGAATCTATTTTTTTAATTGCTCAGGTCATCTTTAGAAACTTGATTTTGAAAAAATTATTAACCATCGCATTATTTTTATACAGTCAGACCTCCATGTATAACGAACCTCTATTTTGGGAATTTCTCTATTTTAAGAACTTTTTCCTGGAACCAAGTACATACTACTCTTTTCTTCGTAAAATAACTCCAAATTTAGCGAAATTTTTCTTCGAAGATTCGATTTTCTGCTCTCCTTATTTTTAAAACATTTCCAGTCATTTTGCAAATTATTCTCTTTTGGCACATTTTATGGATATCAATAACCTTGAACTAGTTTTACAATGTGCCTAACTCATCTAAAGAAACAAAATTGCCGTAAATTTTCAAACAAAAAAAAACTCAAATAAAATTAACAGATTCTATCTGTAACTAAATTTAAGGACACATGTCGTAATGTATGTTTAGATTACTGGTGATAAAATGAGGTATATTTAAATTACTTGCAGGCTTAAAATTAGAAAATTCATTTAAAAAATTCATTCATCTTAATATAAAATTATTTTTTTAATTGAAAATACATTGCATTTCTGGATAATATTTTTCTCTTATTGTTTTCCTAGTGGATTCCTTTTTGATGGGTAAGATATATAAAAAATGATCTTTCCTATTCTGTAATTATTTTTTGTCTGAGTTTCATAGATTAAAGTTAAATAAATTTTTTAAAGAATTTCCACAATACTCCATCTCAGTTTAACTTGGCAGCGTTGAGAAAGGTATTTAATGTACCAATCTACTTGAAAAACAGCTTTACTTTTTTTGTTTTGGATTTAAATCCAAGTAAATAGATAGAAATTTGTATTAAAAAAAAAGCATACATTGTAGAAATTAGATTATTTTTACGTTGTAGAAATGTAATTATTTTTAGACAAAGTTAATTAATACAGTCAATAGCGCAACGTTATGAAATTCTAGTTTGGCTGAAAACTGATTTTCGACGCCAACTTTTGTCATTCTTGTAATAATAACATAATTACAACAATGCAGATATATCGAAATTGGCGCCCAAAACTAGTTTAAGGTTTTTAATTAATATCTTTTTAATTAATTGCAATATAGGAATATAAATGGTCAAAACATGCATTGTCATCCAAACTAAACGTGTATACAAAATTTCAGCTCAATGTGGTGAAGATATCAGCTTCAAAATTGAGTTGCAAGATTCCACCCGAACAAATTACATACATACATACATACATACATACAGTGTAAGTTAAATAAAAGCTTGTAATAATAATAATAAAGAAAACTATCAGTTGTAACGTATCAGAAAGTTGTCCCTTTCTGCACATGCTCCATAAGCCTCAAACTGGTCAATTCTGCCGTACGTTTATCACAATTAATTATTACTGGCATTTGGTGATTTTAGCAACTGTCTTCGTTGCAATTTTATGGCTCCTTGAAATGAAAAAAAAAATGCCTTTTCTTAAAAATATTTTATACGTAAAAAAACAGAAAAATAGAAAAAAATTTCAAAATTACGAAATTTCGTAAATTTTTTAAAAGAAGTTGTACAATATTTCCTCTCAGTCTAACTTGGCAACGTTGGAAAAGGTATACAATGTACCAATCTACTTGAAAAATAGTTGTAACTTCTTTTTTTTGGGGGGGGGGATTTAAATCCAAGAAAATCCATAGAAATTTCTAGAAAATGCAAAACATTGTAGAAATTGGGATTTTAATAATATATTTCAAGTTAATCACTTGTTAAAAGCATTTATTTTTTAAACAAAGTTAATTAATGCAGTCAATAGAGCAACGTCATGAAATTCCAGTTTGGCTGAAATTCGATTTTTGATGCCAACTTTTGTCATTGTTGAATCAATAACAGTGTTACAACAATGCGGAAAAATCAAAGTTGGGGTCAAAAACCGGTTTTTTAACGTTTTTAATTAATATATTTTTAACTAATTGCAATATTGGCCCGAATTGCGAATCTAGACCCTTCTCGAATCCAACTGAATACATACAAAAATTTCATCCCAATCGGTCCAGCTGCTTAGGAGGAGTTTAGTCACGTACCCACGCGCAGAAGATTTATATATAGGCCTTAGGAGTGAATTTTAATTTATCCCGTGAAATTCTAGTAATTACAGAATCATTCTTATATCGTAGTTCTCGAAGAATCTGACACTTTCTTGTAATTCTAGATTCTCCAGAATTCGTCTCGAAGTATTTAGTTTTCATCTGATATTTCCAATTTGGTGACATTTGACGATCCCATTTGTCGACAAGGTCACTTTAACTTACTTAACATTATTGAAGGGGGTATTTATTCTCTTTTCACCTACAAATGATCTTTCCATTCCCTATACCCTTTTGGTGGAGAAGAGAACAATCTCTTTAAGAATATTTCATTTTGACTTCAGCATAGATTTATTTTGTTGAACAGCTTAATAATCGAATTTTATGAACACATCTTCCCTGAAGCTTCATAGGGTGTACAAAATTCTATTCTACTTTTAGTTGAAACCGTCTCCCAAAATAAATCGAATTTTGTAGTGTACGTATATACACTTTTATACTACCACCTAATTGTACATTTTATTATTCTGAGGAATATTAGAAAATCCTTTTAGTTTTAAAGAATTTTAATCTAAGAAATTTTCATAAAAACAGAAAACAATAAGTGCTTTTCAGTTTGAAATGGCACTAGGTGACTGGAAACAAAAAAAGACGCTTAACCCTTAAACGCGTATATCTTTCCTTTGAATTTTGAAAATTATTTTTTAATAGGAATGTAGTCATGGGTTACAAAAAAATAGGTTGAAAAAATCCAGGTAGTGGTATTGAGTATTTATTTTGAAAATAATTGGGCAAGAGATACATTATTTCCCAAAAAATCTGACATATACCCAATAAAATTTTCAAATCCGACATCAAACACTGATAGTGTACCTGACAATAGATGAGAAGAGTAATTTTGTTTCCAATTAGATAAATCCCTATTTTATAGGAAACTCGAAAATAGAAAGTATTTTTCCGAGTAACACACTGAACTTTATTTTATGAACACTATTCAAGTGTCAAAAAATATGCATATAGCTTATCCGCCATGAGTAATGTCGAGCTTTTTCTTTCACATATGATTTCACTTGACCATGGTTCAAAATTACGCGGTCCGTCCCCAAAAGTCCTCGTGCAGCTGAACAGTGGAACGTTAATATTCACTCATTGACATATGATTTATTGTCAATGGTTAACAAGGTGCGTTTGGAAACACACATACTGAGATTTTTGAATAAAATTTAGTAGAACTGGAATGTAGACAATTGGCTTCACTATGCATTTAAGGATTAATTATATGAGGGATCTCAAAAAGCATGAGCATAAATTTATCATATATTCATATTTAGTCACATACTTATTAATACCATTTCATATTTATTTTTATTTAGCACTGTTAATTTTTGGTAATACAGTCGGACTCCGATTTAACGAATTTCGTGGCTTAACGAATTTCTTTCTTTTCCCGATTAAAATGAAGCTAGAAAAACCCCTGTTTAAAGACTTAAAAAAAAACCACAAATTTATTATTTAAACAGCCAAAAAAATTTTTGTGTTAGTTTGTATTAGAGAAAATTGGACTTTTGTTCAAATGACATATCCTTTTTGTCCGGAATTGAAAACGACTTTTCTTGGAAGCCGCAAATTTCAACGGGAATGGCTACAAACCATTATTAGACTGTAGGTGCAGATCAGTCGTGAGTGCAACTTATCATGAGAGTTTTGAATAGAACAGAAAATTCCTTTCTTATCTTTTTCGACTCTACAACGCAAGGGATATTTTGAGCAATCATGTTACATTAGATGACGGACTGCCTTTCTGTGTAACTGAAGTTGAAGTAGTTGTAGATTTATAGGAACCAATGAATAAAATTCTGATATAGAAACTAATAATGAAACTCCTATCAAAACCTTTACATTTTCTAATGCTTTACATTGTTTGTAAGCTGTGAAAGCATACCTTATGCAGCAGGATGTAAATGACGTATAAAAAATTGAGAAAAGTTGAAAGTTGTATAAAGTTTAAAAAACTCTTTCGAGTCAGGAATCAAAAAGATTGTCAAATATCTATTATAGTCAGTATTTTAAAACTTCCAATTAACTGGTGCGTAGTAATTCAGTAATAGTAATTTTAGCTGTTGAATAAAAAGTGTGTAATTTCTAGCTATGGATATTTTTTGCGTACTGCTTATTACGGAATTTCTAAATGATAAGTGCAAAACATTGTATTTAATTTGGATCCCGATGACCCCAAAATCCTCGGTCTCAATGAATTCGTTCGTCTGTACACATATCTGTCACTATCATGTGTTATAAAAATTCTTTATTGATTGTAATATTGTAAAAAAATCTACAGACAAACTTCTCTCTCTTTTTAGGACTGGAGATCAACTCGGCCAATATCAAGAGGTGGGTGCGCGAGGAAGACTTGGAGAAGCTGGAAGGAGCTGTTCTGGAGGGCTACGGGGAGAAAGTCGCTTTGCAGAAAAGCGACAACGCCAAGCTGCAAAAATACATCAGTGATCAGGTGACTCCTACGGTTGCGTATATTTGACAGCATTCACCCGTGTTTCTTTGAGTATATGTAGGCCCCAAATAGCCGAGTGGCCAACTCGTATCCGATGTTGTTTGAGTCGAATTTGAAATCTGGTGCTCCCCTCGTGTAATTATGTAGAGTGAAAGTTTGGAGAGTGGGATGCCGGCTCAGGTCATAGCTTGAAGTTCGAAATGCAAATATTTAAATTTTTGGAAATAAAATTAATTTGGCTTATGCATCAATTTTAGATGTTATAGAAAATTTGAAAATATAATATGCAAAAATCTGGGGCTATATTAACAATAAAAACGTTGAAGAAACTATATGTTCTTTGTCACCAAAATTAAAACCAACAATTTTATTGAGAATCATCTTGTTTTTCAGTGTAAGGGCTTTTACAGTCCCCCTATGTATCGAGTCAGGATGGCCGGGTGGTCTAAGATGTTGCGTTCAGTTCGCGGTCCACTTCGATGGGCGTGGGTTCGAATCCCACTTCTGATAAGCTCCTTTTCAAATTCATTGAAATAAGTTTAGAATGAATTTAAGATCTGATTTTTCAAAAAGATAATAGGGTAAAGAAATACGGGCACTTTTAAGCACAGTTTCCCTAATGACTCGTAATGATTTTGAGTTGGTGCATTCGTACTGCGGCTTCAGCTGTGCTCAAGTGTTATTTGTTCGTGTTGCTGTGTGGTTCAAACACAAGTATAAACAGACCATTTCTAATATAAGTACCTTATACTTTCAGTGGGCTTGTTGTTATATCTTAGCTATATTACTTAAGATTTAACGTGCGCAAAATAATTTAATTTTACATGAAATCTACAAATGGCTGTGATCTTATATGAGTGTAGTATCTGTTGGCGGAAGTGGGTGGTATCGTTCTTTCTCCTTTCGACAGCAGTAATGCCAACTTTTGAATAATGTCTCTAGATTAAATAGGAGCAGTAAAACTAAGAGTAAAATATGGACATTACCGAAATTTGATGAAGTAATGCTTTCAAACCCTACTCCCACGCTATTCTTTCAACCTACACATCCTTTGAGGTTTTTTTTTCACCTTCCTTCTACGAACCTCTTCCTCTTATAATAACTGCCTAATAATAACTTATAATATTGCTTAGTACCAGATGCGTCCCTTTTATAATGTTGAGATACGATACGAAAGCGGAATTTTTGAAATCGATCCATAAGGGGCGTTTCAAGGGCTTAAGGGGCGTTAGAAATAAGTATTTCCGTTTTTAAACTGTTAGATCCACACAACTGATATTTGGTAGGGATGTTCCTTCCATGGAGAAGATATCCGCTAAAAACCGATTTTTTTTGCAAAAATCAACCCCCAAGGGACATTGCGAGAGTTTAAAGTGCGTTAATAATCCCGTTTTCGAACTACAGACGTAAAATTCGGGAGGCACATTTGTTTAATGAAGTAGAGATTCACTACTAGAAGGGTTTGGCTAAAATTGACCCCAATGGACAAGGGCTTAAGAGGCGTTACAAATAAATTTTCCAGTTTTTAAACTATTAGATCTGCAGTCTTGAAATTTAGCAGGAGAGTAGAGATGAAAAAATGCAAAAAATGATCCCCGAGGGGCGTTATAGATAAATAACAAGTGCATTCATTAAAAAAGTATTTTATATTTTCTAGATATTGTTTTTCACCGGGTTTTACTCTCCTTAAAATTCAGTTATTATCTCAAGAATACATATATAATACTTTTTTATTTTTTTAAAAAAATAACATGTGCGATAAACATGCACTTTAGCTAGTATAATAAAAACTAACAAGTTTTAACAAATTCTCTTGGTGTTTTTATGTAAATAAAACCTTAACTTCACATAAGAAATCCGCCACGAGAATAAAAAAGGTAATGGATTATTTCGGTTACAAGTGGAATGGTCAGTGTATTTTTAAGACTAACATTTCTCATTTTGCACGCGCGTCAGGTTCCATTGCTGGTCCGCAAGATCGAAGCTATCCACATCGCCGTGTCCAACGACGACCTGACGGAGCTGCAGAATCAGCTTCACGAGACGGATAACATGGTGCTGGCCAAAGACCACTTCGGTATGGCCCCCATCCACAGGGCTGTGCTCATGAACAAGCCGGAGACACTTGCCTTCCTCATAGATAGGTTCCCCGAGACCGTCAATGCCAGGGACAAGGTATATATGCATCTTAATAAATAAAACTAAAATTCCAAAATGAATTGAAACGTTTAATGGGAAACTTCATTCTCTTTTCAAAACAGTTTTCTTTTTTTTTCCATTTCGATATCTATTAGATACTCTCTTCAATTAGCAACTTTAAATACGTTGTTAAGGAGCTTCCCTGTTGAAGTCACTGTTAAGCCTGAATCACTCCTGTGAAAGGCTGTATTATAACGACATTGACACATGCTCGATATCTGGAACATTGTTGGGCCACTCTAAGTGTTAGAGAGTCCAAGAGAATCTGAAAGTCAATCGGACAGTCCGTTGAAATGGGTTGGGGCGTCGTTGAGTGTTGAAACGTGTGGAAGCGTCTCTGAAGCTTCGTAAAGCATATGGGTTTCATTTTTTGGTGTCTATTTAAAGGTGGAATACGTCACGCCCACAAAGACGACACATGATATAGAATCATTTCTGTTTGGAACGTCACCGTGATTACTACCAATCACGCGGTGGACTTTGAAACTGGAGATTGAAGTAAAAACTGCACCAGTTTCCCTTCTGTCGGCTGTATAAAAAGGAGATCAAATGTTGACTTTCCCTAGAACAGAAGTGGCGAACCTTTTTAGAAAAAGTTCCACTTTCAAATAAAAAATAATTCTGTGTGCCAATTCCATTTTTCCAAACAAATAAAAAGGTGGGCTTATTATGTAGTTTTTGTGCAATTTTTAGTGCAAGTTTATGAAGAGGAAATCTAAAAATAATATAATGAATGGCACAACAAATTACAAACTTATATTTTATTGTTTTAATTTTGAACTATATTTTGGTTTGGTTCATTTGCTCACAAGCTCATGTTGATTCAAATCTACAACAATATCTGACAGACAAATAGTATAAGTGTGAAAATTTGCTTGTTAATACAAAATTCAATGTAATCCTTATATACGCTTTTCAGAGTTATATGGTGCTCCTTTTGGCAGATAATAGAGTGAATATTATATCTGGAAATCAGTTGTGTAAATCCAGTATATTTTTTCATTTAATTATACACAATAAACTGTATTACACATAACTGCAAGTTTAAATGTTAGTTTATTTACCTACTTTTGGAGCGGAATTTTCAAATTTTATAAAATCATTGTGATTTAAATTTCTTGAAATGAAAGTCCCGGGTGAAAATTTTTGAGGGGTATTGAAAAAGAAATTTCTCCTTCGAAATTTTGTGCTTACGCTTTAGTCTTTTAAATAATGCAAAACTTCTTTGTGAGATGAATTGAAAACGTCTTTTTTGCATTTTCAGTAGCTTGAAAATGAAATATGAGAGAAAAGGTTTCACATCATTTAATGCTGCACTTATTGCAACCAACATATACTGGTAGACTGGTAATAGTTGTTAAAATACTGAAAACGTATAAAAACTTGGTTTTTCATCAAAACAATAGTAAAAAAATTGATATCAAAAGTATTAAAAAGGAAATCAAAGGAGAATAAAAGCTATTTCAACTTTCATTACGTTTTGGATAAAAACTGATGATGCCCCCCCCCCTTTTTTTTTCAAGGTAAGATTGTGTCCAAAAATTAGTTTTCTAAAATTTATTCTATTAAAATTGCATAAATTTACTGTATGCATGTACTCTATGTTATTTATATGTAATTGTGTATAATGAAATGACATTTTTTAAATATTCTTAACGCCCCACTATTGATTAACGTCGCATGTAGTCACTATTTGCAAAAACAAATTTCTTGTGTATATAAACTTCCTTTTCCAGTGAGTGAGTGAATATTAACGTCGCACCATTCAGCTATATTTGAGGGCTTTTGGCGATGGACCTCGTAATTTTGAACCATGGTCAAGTGACGAGGACGACACCTGAGCAGGTACCCCCTCGCCTAACTTCCCCCACTACACCAACGGAAGGACGTTTTTTGAGCCTCGACAAATTTAATGTGCATCGCCCCCCCCCCTTTTTCCCGTCGGGTCTTCGTCTGTACTAGGCTCGAACTCATGACACGTTAGCCACGAGTCCTTTACCTTCAAAACTAGGCTATCACGCTCGTATAAAAAGAGCCAGAAAAAGTGAAATTAACTTTTGAAAGTTTTGCAATTAAAATAAAGAGTTTGTATGCGAAGAAAAGGATGAGACAACTCACGTGGATATTGATGATGGCTACCGAGTATCTGCTTTGACTAATAAGAAGAAGTTTTGTAAGCATTTAAAATAGATTAAAACGGACTTGCTCTACGGAGGCTTAAATTAAAAGTTGTTATGAATTGTTTGAGGGGATGGAATAAAAACTGTTTGCTTAAAGATGGCTCTTTCTTCTTTAAACGTGGCTTCGGTAGCCTAGTGGTCAAGGTAAAGGACTCGTGGCCAACGTGTCACATGAGTTCGAGCCTAATACTGCTGAAAACCCACTGTATAAGGGGACAATGCAGGTCAAATCTTTCAAAGCTCAAACATCCTCCCGTAGGTGTGGTGTGGAAGTTACGAGAGAGGTACCAGCTCGGCTGTCGTCCTCGTTACTTGACCATGGTTCAAGATGAGGAGGTCAGTCAACTAAAACCTACGAGTATATAGCTGAATAGGGCGACGTTAATATTCACTCACTCACTCCTTCTGTGAAACCCTGCACAAACGCAATCGGAATTTCGCTTCAAACTCAACCCAAGATAATACTTTATTTTATGTATACGCAATATTAGATTGAAAGCAGAGAAGTATTCACATTTAAAAAAATGGTGCAGTATTTTATTTATTTGTTTGTTTTTATATGAGGTTTCTTCCTATGGCTTGACTAACGTAAACCGACAAACGCGTCTTTCTTTTTTTTTTTATAGGAAAATGAAGTATATTTAAAAATTATCTTACATTCTATCTTGTTTGCTCGATTTCAGGAAGGTCGTACTGCCCTGCACTACGCCGCGGCGATGTCTCGTGAACCCGGTGCTTCGAATTATTTCAAGATGCTACTCGAAGCAGGAGCTGACTCCAGAATAAGAGACAACGTAATCAACTTTTTTCTGATTCTCTTTTTTTTTTTTTTTTGTGTCCTCAGAATTTTACCTTATTAAAAAAAATTTAACCTGTAAGTCATGCATTGGTTTTTCTAATATACGGAACAGATGATATATATATATATATATAAATTTAGTATTCATTTTACCAACATATGAAAGAAATTTTATTTTCAATATTATCTTATAATAATGAACAATCTTTCCTGATTACCTGTTAATATGAATTAATATAAGTTAAATAGTATTATTTTTATTTAAGGGGACCCTTAATATATATCTGTGCACTTGAAAAAAAATATCCTTCTTGAAACCAATGTAACTTAGC